GGAAACAGGATCGTGAGAAATTATGGTGTCCAGCGGGATCCCCCTTTCGAAGAGGGACCGCCCCCCTAGCGAAGAAGGACCACAAGCTTACGCTTGTGGCAATTAACCCCGAGCGGGTCTCAAGCAAGAGCTAAATTTTGAGCAAGACCTGCTGTGCATCAGTGCAGTGCTACATGTGCTGCAGCTTCGTACTTAGGTTTGGAACAAATCAGTCTTCCATTCTTCTAATGTCTGTGTACGTACGGATATTCGCGGCGCTGATGCGAGAGCCATATTTTGAAATCGACATGTGCCCAATCCATCAAGCAGATGCAAGGTGTTGGTACTAACGTGCGTGGTGTTTTTGCAAGAACCTTTGTGTGTGTGTGTGCGTGTGTGTGGGGGGTCGGTTGGGGGCCAGAAAGCCACGTTCCGTATAAAAAAGGTGTTGTTAGTTTTTCAGTCGAATGTGCGGAGCGCTAGGGCGAGACCCACAAATTGAAAACAAACCGCCCTCCATCCTTAAATCTCTTGCAAGATTGTGGGACGAGGTGCGCGGCGAAACGGAGAGCCACAGTCTGATGACACCCCGCCCTCCTTCCCTTCAGCAACTGAATTTGTTGAGACGAATGTGCGCGGCGCTACTGTGAGAGCCACAGTTTGAAAACTATTGGCCCTCCATCCGTGAGGCTGTTGCAAACTAGTTCGACGAGTGTGCTTGGCGCTACGGCCAGAGCCAGATAAAAAAGGTGCCCTCCCTCCTCGCAGCTGTTACACGCTTGTAAGACAACTGTGTGTGCGGCGCAAAGGCGAGAGCCACATTTCGAACTTGTCCCCCCATCCATCCTCGAAACTGTTACCACGCTCGAGCTTAAGGATCATACATGGTGCGGAGGTCTCAGGCGATACGCCCGGCGCGCCCTTCCGACGCGCCGGGGGTTGCGACAGGGAGGACTTGGTTCTAAGGGAAAGGGATGTAGTTCAGGGGTTCTGGGTGTGGCGACAGTGTCGGTTACGAGAGACTGAAGCGGCTACACGCCCTGCTGCTTCCCGCTGGCCAGCTCGGCTTTACTGCGAACCTTAGGCCAGAGGCCTCGGGAAATTCTGTCAACGTAATCCTTTTGATTACCAGAGATGACCCCTTCGCACTTGGCGGCTAACGCTCGAAGCTGTTGCGAGGCGTACCAACCACACTTAGTGCAGACCCAGAGGTTTAAACCCGAGTGGAAATTTAAAACGTGAGATTCGTGAGCAACCCCCCCCAAGATGCACCCGTTGCCCAGGAGGAGGCCTATACTGAATCCTGTCCACGTTTATTAGGGAAAAAAGCAAGGGGAACTCAACCAGTCGCTTTTACGAGCCAAGGACGTGAAACCCTGACACCTGGAACAGCTCTTTGCATTTTCCTTGAGGTTATGAGAACTACTAAACATGGTACACACGCTGGCCGCTGGAGGCCGAAGTACATCTGGAGCTTGCTGCTTGCGCCTACGCTTACCACCCTGCTCAGCTAAGAGACGCTCTTCGGCCTGAATGGCCTCGAGTGTGCTTTGGAGGATGCGCATGCGATCTGCGAAAGCTTGCTGCTCGGTACTGTGTATGCGTGCACGGACGGATTCGGCAAGCATGGCAACACCTGCACCTGCCGCTGCGAAACGATCTGCTATGATATTACCTAGTACAAGGAGATGGGGAGCTATAACTCGCACAATATCGGCACCCTCAAGGTGTGAATGGACGAAAAGCACCGTGCAAGAAAGCGAAGGCCCTCTCTCTTGTAAGACACGCCCTGTTCGCCACCAGAGGTCAGCGTCAGGGCCCGAGGGGTCGAGCCACTTACGTTGATACCACCCTACACTAACTGCATCATTATCTGTGGTGTACACACAATGACCTGACACATGCTGCACACACGTGAGGAGGCACCACATCTTCCCTCTAGCGACAGTTTGTCTGGTGCCCGGGAGGGGCCCCCACACACCTACAGAAGTCCCCATTCGTTCGTCAAGCTGCTGAACCGACACTATTCCGAGGCCTACTCGGCGGAGCAGGGGGTGGTGGGTATCTCCCCCCCCACTCAAAACACAAACAAAGGCCTATCAACATCTCCGGTGCCTAGAGACTCGACACTGCTATTGTCGCTGGTCGTCCACAATTCCGTCTCAGGCGGAGGGGGTACTTCCATCCAGGCCTTGGGAATTAAACCGCGGGTCCAAAAGCACTCTTCAGCCATTGCTTGAGTGTAGGCCTTGGGAACTAAATCTTCGCTAAGTTTATAAATCGGATGATGCGACTGGCAACTGCATCCCCAGATTCAGTGAAAACTTGTTTCTGGTACAAGCTTGCACCTGGGACAGGACGGAGAGGGTCTGGCGGCAGCGTGTCTGGCGAGGTGTCCGCGGCCACGCCGCGCCCGCCGCCGCCGCCAGCATCAGACCAGAGAGCCTGGATCCACCAGGCGCCTACGAAAAAATGCACACTCCGTTCTCCACGCCAGCCCCACCGTTTTCATCTACGTGAGAGGGCTTCTGATCCCCTCCAGGCGCACAAGTAAAGTCAGCCTCGCAACGCAAACTTTGGCCCCCCGTCTTTTCGAGAATGCCAGTCTTATTGAGGGAGGCAGGGGTGAAATTCCAATCTGCAATAACTACCCAAGGAAGCTGGAGGGCAGCTACGAGAGACGCGAGCTTCCGAAATCTTGGGACATTACGATCCCTCATACCAATGGCTGAGTGACCGTCAAAGGTGACAACAACAATTGAATATCCTTTCAGCTCAAGCAAGGCTGGTACTCAGCCGTCGAAAGAGCTGCCCCGCTCCGATCGGAGTCCTGGGACAGCCCGCGCCTCGTCCAGGATGCAAGCTGGCGTGTGCCTAGCCAACAGGACGAACTCGCCGCCCTCGTTGGCGAATGCGCTGCCTGTGGAACTGATCCACTTGCTCTTCGACCGTGCAGCGTTGGCATAGAGCTTGGTATTGCCATCGCGAGCTGTGCGCCGCCACTTGCTGATCGACTGCTGGTTGATGTGTGTCTCACACAAGCTGATGTACGGATACCCTTCATTCACGAGTTTGCCGACATGCCCCCAAGCTTTGTCGCCCATACACGTGATGCGCGAGAAAAAAAGAGGGACGAAACTTTTTCGTCGCTGCTCGTCGTAGTTGTAGTACAACCCGTGACAGCAGCACCCACAGAGGTAGACGGTGGAGCCTGCGAAGTAGCCGAAGATGTGGCAGCCCCCGAGCTGCCCGCACTGGTACCAGTACACGCACTGGCTGCCCCCGAACTCGCAGCACCCGTAGTCTGCGTAGTCGTCGTAGAGGTCCTTAGTCAATTGGAGCTTGGGCCTTCGGCAGCAGGAGGCGCACTCACGCCCTTGCCACCCTTGGTGTCCTTGGCCTTGTTGATGGCGGCGGCAGCCTGAAACCTCGCCTGGGAGATCATCGCCGCCTCCTTCTTGATGGCCTCCTCGTGCGCGTGATCGACGGTGTCGGGGCTAGCAGCGCTGGAAGCGCCTGCGCCGCCCGCCTCTGCCGCTGCCTCGGGAGCGGCAGCGCCCAAGCTATCCTGAGCGCCGCCGTCGTTCCCCTTGCGCTTCTTGGCCATTCTCTCGGCGACCTCTTTCTCCGCCTGCTTCACCTTGTCGACGAACGATTGCCACGTGGAGCTCTTCTCCTCCATGGCTGCCTTGTACTGCTCTAGCTCGGCCTTCAAGGACCGAAGCTGCTGCTTGTCCGTCTCCTCGCAGTTCCACGACTCAAGGAGTTGAACACAACCATGTTCATCGTGATGCCGAATATGGGCTTGGCCTCTTGCTCGTTGGAAGTGGCAGCAGCGCCAACTCCCTTGGCCTGCAGCAAGGCCCTCGTGGCCGCCGTCTTCTCCGCCGCTGCGCGGGCGAGCTCGACGGCAGCCTCACTCTCCTTGCTCTCCGCGGTGCTGAGTTGCTGCCGCAACCTCATCACCTGGTCCACCAACTGTTGGTGTCGGTTCCTGGCGGCATTCCAGGCACCGTCTGCACGCTTGACGGCGTCGCTGTTCTTGGCGCTCATGTTCTGATTGGCCAACCGCCTCGACTGTTGCTGCAACACCTGCTACAGCTCAGTGTCCTGGGCGGCCTTCAGCGCCTGCTCGAACAGCGCCGAGATGTCCTGGTTCTTCTTGAGGCCACCCTTCTTCCCGCTGCGCGGGGTCATGGCTCCCGACGTCGCCTCATCCTCGAAATACACACCTCGTTCAGCAGACTTGGAGCGGGTGCGAGGCTTGAATAGCCGCACCTGCTTGGGACACTTGCTGCAACGACAATCTGAAAGGAGGAGCTCGTCATTGTATTCGCAAGTTTGGCAAAACTGACACACTCCATGGGCGACGAGCGGCTGACTTCGCAAAAGTTCTCCCTGCTTTCGTTGATGCAGGCAGGTGATGGGGCACACCTGCTGCAAAATCCCTCAAGCACTACGTGGAAGTACAGGGAAGGCTGCAAGCACTTGCCCAGGCACGGGGGCGTGGGACTTGGTGCTCCAGCCCAAATGACTTGAGTAAGGGAAAGGGATGGAGGAGGATGGCGAGGAGGGGAAAAGCGGAGCGGGGAGGAGGAGGCTGAGGAGCAGGAGGATGAGGAGGAGGAGGAGGAGGAGGAGGAAGATCGAGGAGGTTGGAGAGGAAGAGGGAGGAGGGAGGAGGAGAAGAGGAGGAGGGAGAGGGGGGAGAAGTGAGTCAGGACGAGGACGAGGTGAAGGAGGAGCATAATGGGTAGGATGGTGGAGGAGGGGGAGGGGGAGGAGGAGGACGAGGAGGAGGATGAGGAGGAGGACGAGGAGGAGGGATGGGGGAGGGAGTGGGAGGAGGAGGAGGAGAAGGAGGAGGAGGAGGAGGAGTGAGGCAGGAGGAGGAGTGAGGCAGGAGGAGGAGGAGGAGGAGGATAAGGATAATGGGGAGGATGGTGGAGGGGAGTGGAGCACCGGCTGCGGCGCCGAGGGGTCCGTGGGATCGGGCGGGCGCGGCGCGCTCCGACACCGAGGCTGGGCGCCTCGAGAGGCCCAGCCACGGCGACGCCCAGGACTTCGGCGAATTCCGAGGCGGCCCGGGCCCGCTCCCGGGGCGGCTCCACGATCGTGCTCCTCGATCCTCCTTCTCGTCCGCTCCACCTCGATGGTCCTCCGGTCCTCCTCGATTCTCCTCGGCGGTTTTCCTCCTCCCCCTCCTCGATCCGCTTCCCCCTCCTCCTCCGCCTCCTCATCCCCCTCCTTCTCTCCACCTCAGCTCTCCTACATCTCGAGCTTCCTCCTCCTTCTCTGTCCTCCTCCTCCTCGATCCTTCTTCTCAGATGTCCTCCATTCCTTTCCCTTATGAATAACTTCTCCCTGTCGCACCCCGAGGCCAGTCAGAAGGGCGGGCCGGGCGTTTTTCCTGATATTTGTTTACCATGTATGATCCTGTAGCTGAGAAGCTGGCAACAGTTTCACAGATGGAGGGCGGGCGGCTTTCAAACTGTAGCTCTCGCCTTCGCGCAGCGCACATTCGTTTTAGAAGACATGCAAGAGCTTCGCGGTCGGTTTTCAAAATGTGGTTCTCGCCCCAACACCGCGCACATACGCTTAAAACAGTGGCAAGAGCTTCACGGATTGAATCATTTTTCCAAAACGTGGTTCTCGCTTCAGCGCCGCGCACGTTCGTTTTTTATTTTACTGTTTGCAAGCGTTTCACGGACTCTCGTGGTTAGCGTACAGGAACTTGTGTTTTGGAGTGATTCCGCATTGTCAGGGAGCGCAAATTACGTTGATTCGCGGTGTTGAAGTTCCAGGAATTGTGTCATGGCACGGTTCAGGGTCGAGAAGATGCAACAATCACAGTGATTTTTGTGTTGAAGTCCTGAGAATGGTATGTTTGTTGGGACGGTTCTAGCTTTTTACACGGTTGTCTCCCAACGGGGTTCTTTCAGTGGAACTGAACTCTTTGTAGGGGCCCGTGAAACATGAGGAGCGAACTTGGAGGGAGGGTGCATTCCAACATTGTTGATAAGTCGTGAGTTTACATTGATCTTTCTCATTCTCCTCCTCCGCTTCCTCCCCTGACATCCTCGCGCCGTGGAAAAAGTCAAGGCCCGATGTTGGTTGTCCATTTTTGTCATTGTTTGGCCCTTCCCAGGCCGCGGGCCCGTCAACAAACGACTCCAGGTCAGAAGCCCGTCCGCATGAATGGACTGGACCTCGGAGGAGCGTGCCACGCTGTGACGAATCACACGACGTCGGATGCTTGGACCTCGGGGCGGCGAAGAGAGGGGTGCGGGGTAGGGGGTGGCGCGGTCATCGCGGCCAGGGCCTGTGAAGTCTCTTCGATCTCCTGGTCCCCCCTCTCTCCTCCAGCAGCGCGCCCCAGCGCGAGGGGAGGAGGCCTTCTAAGGAAGTGGTGGGCTTCTCACCCTTCCGACGCGCTGCCCGCACCACATCCTCGTCATGTCTGGCTTCTCCCTCCTCCTCCTCCTCCTCCTCCTCCTCCTCCTCCTCCTCCTTCTCCTTCCCCCTCCTCCTCCTCTTCCTCCTCCTCCTCCTCCTCCTCCTCCTCCTGCTCTTCGTACTCCTCCTCCGCCTCCTCCTCGCCCGCCTCCCCTGGAGCCTCTGGAGGGCCCGCGGGCCCCGTTCTCCCCCCCCCCCCGCTCGCCCGCGCAGGCGCCCCGGGCCAGGGCTGCTCTAGCCTCCGTCTTCCCGGGCCCCCAGCCTCGGCGCACCGGGCCTCCCTCGCCAACGCCACCAGCAGCGCGCGCGAGAGCGCGCGGGGGGTGGGGGGAGGCGGGGCGGCGGGGGGGGGAAAACAGCGGCAGTCAACCATGCTTTATAAGCTGTACATTCGTTTGCACGCATGCATGTGTATTAAACATTTCTCTAGATATGTATATATCTATATATATATACATATTGATGTCTATCTATATAGGTGTATATATATTTATGCATGTGTCAACACATGCACACGCATTTACATGTAGCCCGCATAGAACCCACGGATCGTACGAGGAAGCGTCGCGCCGTGGTCTGCCGCGGCGGCCTGCAAGCGAGCCCCGACTTGCGTGACAACCCGGCTTTTCTCGCTCGCCCCTCCGCCTAGCTCGCCACGCTCGCCTCCTCGGGCCTGACCGCGCTCGTCCCCCCCCCCCCTCGGCGCCGGTAAACCTGCCCCAGAGTCCAAAACTGGCCGAGGACTGGAGCGCCCGTCAGCGGAGCCAGCCTCGGCGCCTCGGGATCGAAGCACTGTTGTTGTCGTCGTTGTTGTTGTTGCTGCTGTTGCTGTTGTTGTTGCTGCTGCTGTTTTGTTGTCCTCGTTGTTGCTGCTGCTGCTGGTATTGTTATAATTGTTGTTATTGTCGTTGGTGTTATTGTTGTTGTTGTGTTGCTGTTGTTGTGAATGTTGTTGTTGCCGTCGTTGTTGGCATTTTTTGTTGTTGCTGTTGTTGTGATTGCTATTGTTGTTCCTGCTGCTGTTGTTGTCGCTACTGCTGCTGTTGTTGTTGGTTTTGTTTTTGCTTTGGTTGTTGTTGTTGTTGTCGTTGTTGGTGTTGTCAGTGTGGTTGCTGCTGTTGTTGTTGTGGCTGTTGCAATTGTCGTTGTTGTTGTTGCTGCTGCTGCTGTTGTAGTGCTCGCCGTTGTTATTTAGGTTGTTGTTGATGTGTTTGTGTGTTGTGATGGTTGCGGTTGATGTTGCTGTTGTTGGTAGTGTTGTTGTTGCTGCTGTTGCTGTCGTTGCCGTCACCGTTGTTGTTGCTGGTGTTGTTGCTGTTGGTGTTGTTGCTGTTGTTGTTGTTGTTCTTGTTATTGTTGTTGTTGCTGCTGTTGCTGCTGCTGTGGTGTGTGTTGTTTCTGTCGGTTGTGTTGTTGTGACTGCTGTTGTTGCTGCTGCTGCTAGTGTTGCTATTCGTGTTGCTGTTTGTGTTGTCGTTGTGGTTGTTGCCGCTGTTGTTGTGGTTGTTGCTGTTGATGTTGGCGTTGTTGTTGTTTGTGTTGCGCCTGCTGTGGTTCCTGCTGCTGTTGTTGCCGTTGTTGTCATTGTTGTTGCCGCTGTTAATGTTATAGTTGTGGTTGTCATTGTTTTATTGTTGCATTGGTTTATGTTGTTGTTGTGGTTGATGTTGTCTTTGTTGGTGTTGTTGGTGCCGTTGTTGCTGCTGTTGTTGCTGCTGTTCTTGCTACTGCTGTTGTTGATGGTGTTGTGTTATTTTGTAGGTATTGTTGATATTAAGCTCTCACTGCTGAAGAATCATCATTGTTGATGCCCGCTCCAGAGCACATTGTATGTTTTCAATTGAAGTGCCCCTCCCGGCGCTAGCACCCAGATTTTTAATCAGGGACAGTCTTGAGGCTCACATTGTGCTACTGGCCCCCGGGTTACAACAACAACGGTTCCCGCCTGAGATTTCCTCACACTTTAGATAGAGCCCCCGCTCCCGCCTGAGACTTCCTCGCATAATCTATTCAGGATCGCTCTCTCGGCGCTCTGGAGTCGCGCTCTCGCTGGAGACTTGCTTGCAATTTCCTCAAGAATAGCGCCCTTGCGTTGGGTTTTTTCCGCAAATTATTCAAGCGCCGCGCTCCGGACACTCAGGCACCCAGGAGTCGCGCTCACGCTTAAGACTCCTTCACAGATTATTCAGGAATCGGGATCTCGCTGCCCTTCGTGGCCCCGTTGCAGCCCTTCGTAACCCCCTCGCTGTCCTTCGTGGCCCCGTTGCAGCTCTTGGTGGCTCCCTCGCTGCCCTTCGTGGCTCCGTTGCAGCCCTTCGTGGCCCGCTCGCTGCCCTTCGTGGCCCCGCTGCAGCCCTTCGTGGCCCACTCGCTGCCCTTCGTGCCCTCGTTGCAGCCTTTCGTGGCCAGCTCGCTGCCCTTCCTGGCCTCGTTGCAGTCCTTCGTGGCCAGCTCGCTGCCCTTCGTGGCCCCGTTGCAGTCCTTCGTGGCCCCGTTGCAGCTCTTCGTGGCCTCGTTGCAGCCTTTCGTGGCCAGCTCGCTGCCCTTCGTGGCCCCGTTGCAGCCCTTCGTGACCCGCTCGCTGCCCTTCCTGGCCTCGTTGCAGTCCTTCGTGGCCAGCTCGCTGCCCTTCGTGGCCCAGTTGCAGTCCTTCGTGGCCCCGTTGCAGCTCTTCGTGGCCTCGTTGCAGCCTTTCGTGGCCAGCTCGCTGCCCTTCGTGGCCCCGTTGCAGCCCTTCGTGACCCCCGTTGCAGCCCTTCCTGGCCTCGTTGCAGTCCTTCGTGGCCAGCTCGCTGCCCTTCGTGGCTCCGTTGCAGCCCTTCGTGGCCCGCTCGCTGCCCTTCGTGGCCCCGTTGCAGCCCTTCTTTGCCCCTTTGCTGCCCTTCTGGGCCCCTTTGCTGCCCTCAGTTGCCCCGTCCTCTCCGCGGCCCAATATACGTATGCCCTTCGTGACCCCCGCTCGTTCGCGCCCGTTGTGGCCCCATGTGCATGCCCTTCGTGGCCCCGCTGCCGCCCTTCGTGGCCCCCTCGACGTCCGACGTGGCCAAGTAGCTACCCTCAGTGGCTCCGTCGTTGCCCTCTGTGGCTCCGCATGATCTGCCCTTCGTGGCCCCCGCTCTTTCGCGCGCTTCGTGGCACCATACGCATTCCCTTCGTGTCCCCGCTGTCGCCTTTCGTGGCCTACTTCGTGCCCTTCGTGGCCCTGCTGTCGTTCTCCCTCTCGCTTTTGCTCGTCGTCGTCGACGTCGTCGTCGTCGTCGTCGTGGTCGGTCCCCTGTCCGTCCCTCTTGGGGTCGGGTTGCCGCCGATCAGCGCTGCCGCTGGCTAGGCCGACGGTCCTGCTGCCCCGCCGCTTGCCGGGGCCCGGCCTGCAGGGAAAAAAGGTAACCGCATGCCGATGATAATAAAGGGACCCCCCCTTCAGTGTTTAGAGTTGATTATCGTCGCCCTATACAAAATTCAAATTGGGCGGCGAGCGCTGCGGCCGAACTTCATTATCACCTCGAAACGCGATGCTGAGATAGCAGCATCAAGCGATGTTGATATAGCAACATCAAGCGAAGCGATCACACTTTTTCAGGATGTTTCAAGCAAAACTAAGAATTTTGGGAGGCAGACTCAAA